CGAGTACCCTGTGAGACACCCTGTGGCACTGACAGAGCTCTTTTGAGAACTGCTCATGAGAGAATTTATGACTGACCCAAGGTCACACCAGCAGCTGCATATGGAGGACTGGGGAATCAAACCCAGTTCTCCCAGATAAGAGTCCATGCTCCTAACCACTACACCAAACTGGCCCAGTAAAGGGGGGAAGGAGCTAGAGGAAGTAAAAGTGGGGGAAGAAGAGGCAAGGAAATGGGAATTAATGGGGGGATGCATTCCCCCCAACTTGTAAATCGTGATTTAAAACTGAGATTCTCAGCTGCTTGTATCTATTATCTGTTTCCACTGCAGTTGTTACATGTAGCCATCTCTTTTTCATAAGATGTTTCATTTAAGTTAACTATCACTGAGCTGCTTGATGTCAGGTATTCAGCTGGTTTGGGTTTGTTGTTAGCTGATTGTGGTTTGTTACTAGCTTTTCGCTTTGGTATGGATGTTTTTAATTAGAAGGTATCACTAGACTTTATTTATTTTAGCTTTGCTTTACGCTTCTCCTGTGATTGGTTTCCCATTTTGTTTTAAACTATAGGTTTTTTTAAATTTTAAATTGTATTGGCAATTTATACTTCACTAGCATAAGCCTTTTGTTACTGTCCATGGGGTTTTCTTGGCAAAGATACTGGAGTGGGTTGCCATTTCCTTCTCCAGTGGATCACACTTGGTCTGAGTTCTCTGCTGTGGCCTGTCCGTCCTGGGTGGCCTTCCACGGCATAGCCCACAGCCTCATCAAACCACGCAAGCCCCCTCGCCACGTCAAGGCAGTGATCCATGAGGGATTAAGCAAACGCCAGAACAGGACAGAAGACAGGAGGGCCTGGTGTGATGTGGTCCATGGGGTCGCGAAGAGTCGGACTCGACTGTGTGACTGAACAACAGCATAAGCCACTTTGTGAACACTTCATACTGAACAGTGCCATGAAAGCATTTAAATGGTAGCAATAATCTACCTATCCTATCAAAAGTCATGCCATCTCCAATAAGTATCAACACTGGAGAGGCTCTGCTTTCAACCTTCTGAAGTTTCAAAATGTTTTCATGTTGACAGTTTTGTTGGTCCTTTACATAATCTCTACAAACACTATAATCAACATGACAACATCAAGATTGCTCTTGGGCTCATGCTTATCTTTTCTGCTGGTTAAAAGTTGAGTTAATTAGATGCAATCTCTTAGCACTGAAGTAGAAACGAGTCAGAATACCATGCTCACAAAGTAGTTAGCCTAGTTCTGGATCTGACTACAGTATAAATACCTCGAATATAAAAACTAGCAGTGATTTTTAGCGCATTTTTTTGGAATGTATGTAATGGCAGTGGTAAAAGAGCTCTTAAAGTCACTTGACTTCTGCCAGTAAAAGTAATTCCAAACAACATTTTGAAATGGTTATGGTCCCAGATTTAGATTTCAGTGAGCTTTCCAAAGGAAAGAAATCCTGTGTTTGAGGGTCAGTCAAGAAGAAACCCCTGGCTGTATGGATTTGGTGCATGAACAGAAGAGTCTAAAAGGTGCTTTGAGATGAAGCATCAGAACAGAGTTATGTAAAACCCTTAGGCCAAATCATTTATAGTTTTGGGATTGGCTGTGGTCAATATGCAGACGATACACAGCGATATATAGCCTTATCCAAATCTCCTGGTGATGCAGTAAAGGTCCTAAATCGTTGCCTGGTTAAATTACTAAAAGTGAACAAATTGAAACTTAAAACTTGGCAAAACAGAAGTAATGCTGGCTGCAGAGGCAGGGGATTTGAATGACATTATTCTCCCCACTTTCAGTGCTGTGCTGACCCTTGCTGCGTCAGTTAAGAGCCTCAGGGTATACCGGACCCAACATTACTGCTGGAGAAACAAGTTAATGCAGCTGCAAAAAAGGCTTTCTTCCTACTCAGCCTAGCTTGAAAAATGCCCTTTTACCTTGATATAGATGATCTGGCCACCTGGACCCATATGTACCTCAGAGAACACTTTGGTCAGAGTCACAAGCCCTTCCAGACCCCAAGGATGCCAGGCTAGCTGCAACCAGGGCCAGAGCTTTTTCGGTGGTGGCTCCATACTGGTGGAATGAGCTCCCAGAAGAGATCAGGGCCCTGCGGGACCTTTTACAGTTCCGCAGGGCCTGCAAGACATAGCTCTTCCACCAGGCTTTCAGTTAGGAGCCACCACCACTACCATCACTACCATCATTAACAACAACCGAAGCCTGGTGCATTACTGAGAGCCTGTGCTCACCGACCGAAACTGAGAAAGACCAACGAGCTGAATATCAAGTGCAGTTACAGAATGCATGAGGCCATCTTTGATATCATAAGTCAATTGCTAGCACTTTAGTATATTGTAAGTTGGTTTTAATGAATTGTTTAATTGAATTGTTTGAAGGATTGTTTTTAGATGTATGATATTATTGCTTTTATTATGTGAGCCACCGTGAGCCTGCCATGGTGGAGAGGGCGGGGTACAAATTTAAATAAATAAAAATAAATCAAGACTAGACTGCTATAATAATGCACTGTACATTAGTCTCCCCTCAAAATCAGTTCAGAAAGTCAGGTGGTGCAGAATGCCACAACATGGCTATTATTAGGAGCCAGATGGCGTATGCATACCACTCCCATTCTGCAGTCACACCACTGGCTGCCCATCAGTTACTGGGCTCAATTTAAAGTATTGGCTATCACATACAAAGCCCTTCATGACCTTGGACCCTCGTATCTGTGAGACCACCTCTTCCCTATGTTCCACCACAACAGCTTTGCTCATCTGAGGAGGGTCTTCTGCAGGTGCGAACCTGCAAATGGGTATGCCTTCTTCACTGTGGCCCCTACCTTGTGGAATGGTCTGCCTGAGGAATTCAGGATGGCTCTCACTCTCCTGGCTTTCCACAAACTATGCAAAACTGAATTATTAAAGGGGGCTTTTCTATGCAGGCAATAGGGTAGCACTGTACAGAATGATTCACAGTTACCTGGACAAACTACTAGGGACTGTGGTCTATATTACTCTGTATAGTTTGCTGTTGGATCCTACTATATAATACTGCATCATTTAATGTGTCATCTTGACATTTATGCTTTGCTTCAATTTTTTTTTAGATTTCTGGTTGGTTCTACAACTCAAATCCTGTTTCATTGTTTATTGAATGTCCTATCCTGTTGACAGGTCCTGGCTCCTCAGGAGTGGTCACTTGAGGGGTTGGGGTCTCCAGGACATGATTTTGTAGCTGGTAGCAACAAAAGGGCAGGCCTCAGATATAGCTGGAGAAGGAGTTAGTCTCACTCTTTTCCCCCTCCCCAGCTCACATGTTCTTGGGAGTCTCTATAGGTGTCCTGCTTCCCCTTTGAGAGATGCATGTTCATCCTCCCTGGCCTGCCAGAGCTGCCTGGCTTAAATCAGCCTCCCAATCTGCCCCCCTTCCCTTTCCCATTTTCCCTCAGCCCAGACTAGATTGGACCATCCTTGGCACCCTTCTCTCAGTATTAGGTGGAGCAGCTGCTTCACCCAGCCCTGCCTCCTTTGCAGACTTGGCTCCAGCCTGGTCCCCTGCCGGGTTTGGTGCCAGCTCTCCAGGATGCCCTGCAGCTCAAGCAGGTGCAGGGCCCATCTTCTCTCCTCTTCCCATTGGGCCGCTGGGTCACCTGCAGCTCTAACAAGCCCTTGTGACCCTGCACCTCCCAGGATAACAGGAGCCACAGACCAAGTGCCAGAGGAGTCCAGGGCGACAGACCCCGGACAACTGAATTGACTCACTCTGTGTAATCTGTCTTGAGTCCAAATAAGAAAGACAGATTATAAATAATAAAATCTTATGTAGTTTCCATGCCACCCTGCTGTAAGTTCAGCAAATGGAGATAAAGCCTGGCATTTCATAAATATCAGTGACAACTAGACTAGACTTATAGTATTAATTTATTTGGCACATTAACTTGTAATTATCCATATATAACTACAATTTGTATTTTAACCATAAGCAATCCTGATCTAAAGGCACACCAGGTCTCAGATGTATTTTACACTTTGAAATATACTATCCACTATTTATTCATTAATCCTGTCTTTTTGGAACTGCTGCTTCCTCTACTTCACCAAAGATAAGCTTGAAAAAACCTAAGATATGCTAATAAAATAGCAAGTAGAAGAAGCGCCATAACTCTACGCCAAGGAGGTATTTCAAGCTGCAACAGACTTCCCATTCCAACTTCTGCCATAACCAACCAGACTCTTCTGTACATATGCGAGCTATACCAACCGATGACAAAAACCCCAAAACCCGCTAAACTAGAGCGTTCTACATTTCTACACAGCTACGAAATACTGCTTCCTGACACACCAGGGGTTCTCCGCTGCCTCTTCTCCGAGCTTTGAAGCCTTGCTGTATAACCTGCTTCTACACGAATTCATATGACTGTCTCTCCCACTACTACAATGAAACGGCTGCCCCACTCGTAGAAGACCGCGCTATACCCCGCCCCCCTTTCCTTTCGCCTTTCTATGACGTAAACAAATCTAGGCCTGCGCACAGAGACTTCTGTGCGCCCCTTGAGGGGTTTGTAGGCGTGGCTCTGCGCGCGGCTTGTCCAATTGGGAGGGGCGGGGGGGTTGAGAGAAAGG